ACGCGGAGCCCGCGAAGTGCGCCACCTGTATACGCTTCAATAAACCCGCCAACCACAAAACAGGAGACGAGCAGTGTCCAGCTAGGAAAAGCGCAGTAACCAGGCACATAGGTACTATTGATTATGAGGGCGCCTAGAGCGCCGCCCTCCTATCCTAATACAGCTTATATATGGGCACTAATGTTAACGATTTAGCACAGGACATTGATGCGACGTGTGAATTTCAATCCATATCATGCGACCCAGATAAGTGCCCCACGTTTATTTCTAAGTCTGCTTATAATTTAAAAATAGTTTTACAGAATATTAGAAGCATTAGATGTAATTTTGACGGTCTTTTAACGTTGTTAAATCCAACTAATTTTGAACCTGACATCTTTGTTTTAACAGAGTGTTGGTTACTCAATACACCATCGACTCCTCATCTGGACGGTTATAATTCATATTTCAGTAACAAAAGCAATTTTTTACAAAACGACGGCGTAGCGCTCTACATAAAAAATGACCTTCCAAACGTCATAGTTGAGGAGCCTATAATTCTGGACGCTAACTGTTTGATCGGAAAAATTGGGGATGATATTGCTGTTGTAGCGATTTACCGCTCTCCCTCGTACAAAAACATAAGAAATTTTTTACTCTCTCTATGTGACATTTTGACAACACTTTCCTCATTCCGAAATGTATTCATTCTTGGCGACTTAAATATTGATATTAAGATAGACAATGAAGATAGCAACTCAGCGGAATTCTTGAACCAAACAGCTTCCCTTGGTTACCTCCCTACCCATCTTCATCCAACGAGAGATCGTAACTGCATAGATCATATCTTAGCCAAAACCATTCTTGCCGTAAAAACAATAATTTTAAAAACTACTGTAACTGATCACTATACTTTACTACTCTGCCTACAAAAGAGCTTCAATAGACATAATTTTATCAGTACACATACAGTATTAAATAATGAAGGTGTGTCTCGCGACCTTGCAAGTTTAGATGTGTCCCCAATTTACAACTCAGCCGATGCAAACGTAGCAATGGAATATTTGGTCCGTTCGCTAACTAAAATAATTGAAATGAATACAACGACCAAAATATTTACGCGACGCAATAAAATAATTAAACCTTGGATTACCCCAGGCTTGCTGCGCTGCATTAGAAATCGAGATAAACTTCACAAAAAAATTGTAAAGTTCCCGAATAATCCAATAATTAAAACTACTTATTATAGATACAGAAATTTCTGTAACAATTTATTAAAAAAATTGAAACGTAATTATGAAAAGACTCAAATATTAAATGCTGGTCACGATAAAAAACGATTATGGAAGGTCATCAAAAATATCACGAACATGACTAACTCAAAATCGTCTGCCCTGCAACTCATTGCTAACTCTGTCAATGCAGAGCAAACTGTTAACGCAGCAAATTCTTTCTTCGCTAATATAGGGAAACATTTAGCTGAAAAGGCGCTAATCAGCGCTCCACTTTCGACGTCGACCATGACCTCGTCACACGCCACACAATTACATTCACTCGCCTTAGTCGAAACGGACGAAATTGAACTTGAAAATATTATTATGACTTTAAGAAATGACTGTGCAACTGGAATTGACAGAATTCCCTGCTCTTTCATTAAACAATATAAGGATTGTTTGATTCCACACCTCACCTACATTTTCAACCTCTGTTTATCAACAGGAATATTTCCCAAAGTTCTGAAATTAGCCCTTGTGAAACCTATTCACAAAAGTGGTGATAAGTGCAATGTTAACAATTATCGCCCAATTGCTATATTGCCATCTCTTTCTAAAATACTTGAAAGAATAATTCACAAAAGGCTTGTACATTACTTAGAAAATAAGAAACTCCTATCGATCTCCCAATTCGGGTTTAGACCAGGACTATCAACTAACGACGCAGTTGACGAACTGACTGATTACATTGTAAGGAATCTAGACTCTAAGAATAAGTGTTTGGCTATTTTTCTAGACCTGGCAAAAGCTTTTGATACCGTAAACATCCCAATTCTCTTAAACAAGTTAGAAGCACTGGGAATTAGAGGAATTCAACACAAACTTTTACAGGACTACCTTTCTGACAGAAAACAGCGTGTGACGATTGACAAAATTACGAGTGATGAATTGCCTATTGAATACGGTGTTCCCCAAGGAAGCATATTAGGATCGATCCTATTTCTTGTATATATTAACCAACTATGCACTCTTCCCCTCTCTAGCGGTAAGATCATATCCTACGCCGATGATACAGTCCTACTTTTCAGTGCCTCAAGTTGGAATGACGTATTCACACAAGCCCAATTTGGTTTTAACTCGGTAACCGAGTGGCTCAGAGTAAATGCACTTACACTTAATACTGACAAAACCAAATATATGACATTCTCATACAACATCCTCTCTCAACCTGTCGAGAATACTTTCTCAATAGTAGCTCATCATTGTTCCAGTCCAAGGACTCAAGTTTGCGGCAGTGGTTGTCCAAACTTGGACAGCACAGTCAATATTAAATATTTAGGTGTCATAATCGATCAACATCTCAATTTCAAACAGCATGTTGTAGCGCTTACTGCTAGAGTTCGAAAATTAATATATGTTTTTAAAAATTTAAGACATGCGGCTAGCGGTGAATTGCTCAAATCAGTATACTTGGCCCTCTGTCAATCACTGCTACTTTACTGCATTACTTCATGGGGCGGCGCACATAAAACAACTCTGTTAAACCTAGAAAAGGCGCAGAGAGCTATTCTCAAAGTCAGCAACTTCCGTCCTTTCTTCTACCCTACCCACAAACTCCTAGCCGAGTGCGATGTCCTTTCTGTGCGGCAGCTGTTTATCTTGCAAATAATTTTGAAAAAACACTCAATCACTCCATTTGAGTCTAAGTCCTCATCCTGTGAAAGACGACTCAATACCTTCTCTTCTCGTGAACAACTTCGCACATCACACTCTCATAGATTCTTCTGCTTCCTTGGTACATTACTTTACTACAAATTAAATTCAACATTGCATTTTCATGCCTTGAATAAGATGGGATGTAAAAAGACCGTCAAACGCTGGCTTAAAAATAAAAACTATGATGAAACAGAAGGTTTACTAGAAGTCATTTCATAATTATATTGTAAAAGCTAATTGTTTTATTCTTAATTAAATATACCTATTTTGTTTTTAAGCTCTAATATAATGATACTGTGCACAAACAAGATGCTTAAGATACAGGTAATAATGTACTTAGTTTAGGCATCGCAACTATACTGGTAGGCTTCTAATAATTAATTGTATAGCTTTATGATTAGTATAATAATTAAGGTTTATTTTTTATTTATTTTTTACCAATTGCATATTAGCTTCCCTTACATTTGTTTTTTTTTTACTTATATTTAGATTAAGTTATATTGAAATAAATTTATCTTTATCTTTATCTTTTATTTATTGCTTGCCCATGTGGCAAATATATGTTATAAAAATATAATACAGTAGTCACCTACAACGTCGCCGCAAAATCATGAGAGCACTACCAATTACTAATAATTATTCATAGTTTCTTATAACATAAAATAGTGTTAATAAGATAAGAGCTAATATATTTAAGAACTAGGAAAATGGCACTTATCTTTTATTAAATATTTCGTCTAACTTATAAAATGCGTTATAGATCAGGCACTTTTTTGTAAGTGTAAAAATGTAAAAAAATAAATGTCCTTAAAATTTAGATGTCACATTGACGAAAGACAGTCATTACCATCAATTTTCTATTATTTTTTTATGATGTCTAGTGATGGGCCAAACAAGTTATTTGCCGGGTATGAAGTGACACACTGACTTATAGTAGGTGCATTGACATTCCAAGCTTTATGTCCGCTTTCCACCGCGGGAAATAGCTCAGCGGAGCGAAGTAAAATAGTTTTCTCCGTCCTAAGAAAAGATTTTCACTGAAAATAAATATTTGCCTTCCATGTCAATGTAGACATGAGGTTGGTCAGATGTGCGAGTTATTTGTTATCCATTGCGAGCGGGCTTAGCGGAGTGAGATAGACGGCAGAAAAGTAAAAAATAAATTTCAGTTCTTTTTTTGTGTAAAAAAAAACAGTTTCAATGTTTTCAAACATAGTAAATGCTATCAATTTTATTTCACATAATTTTCTGCACTCTAATTTATTTATAATTTATCTCTGAATAAATTAGGGGTATAACGTATTGTAGTCTTAAAATATCACAAAACGCATTCTTTCTGAGCGTGTTAAGTCCCTACACCCATGTATTACGACTTATTCGAAGAAGAAAGATCTATGTGCAAGACTACTTGTACATTTCGTTCGTTCTTCTTCGCTGTGGATTTCAGATCGACCGTTTTTCGATTTTTTATTTTCGAAGCTAAATAATATATATAAATTCTCATAACACCTTTATATAGGTCCTTAGTATGGATAACGAAATTATTCTCGTAAAGTACTTATTCTCTTTTCGCTATACAATCACATCGGACTCTGTCCTTTGGATGAGTCGATTCATTGCCGTTGCGGAGTCCACTCAAAATTAACACACGACACAATGACACAGCGAACCCATCTCGCTTAATCCGCTTCACTTACTCGCTGGCTGTGGAAGCAATTCTAGGACATTTACTGTTGCAAGTCAAACGGAGTCCGTACGTACTACGCTGGAAACTTGCTCAACTTAGTGACACTTTTGTAACTTTTTCAACTCACCTAGTCCACACCGCTCACTCGTTTGCGGTGGAAACACTTGAAATTTTCCGTTGCGAGTCAAACGGAGTCCATACGGAGCCCGCTCAGCTCGCAGTGCAAGGCAAAGCGTCTCGCGTCATCCTGACACATAAAGTTGGCTAGTCTCATGGGCCTGTAATTTTATCTGCATCCTTCAAAAGGCTTGAAAATTTACTAAAACATACCTGCCAACAAAATATCTAATGTGGTTTATATATAATCTTGTGTATAGCGACCACAAAAATTATATTACAGATCATGAATTATATATTATGGATAGTTAACTTAGTCGTACTGTCGTTGGCTTTCTTCGCGGTCACACCGATGAAAAAGGATGACTATGATAATCAAACTTTCGACAACCTTGTGAATTCCTTCATGCGACCATTGTGGGCCCTTGGAATTGGTTGGCTTATTCTTTCTTGCGCTGAAGGTTACGGAGGTGAGAAAAATCTATAAAAAATATTAATTATCCAGAAACGTAGTGAGATTAAGAAGTTAGTAGTTAGAAAGCAAGATATTTTTAAGTGGTAGTGTTATTTTTGGTAGTGTTGTTATTAGTTGTACCACAGCTGTATTTACGTATTTTATTAAATAAAAGAAAGTTATGGATTTTAATATGAAAGTCTCAAATCTTATATAGCAATAAATAAGACGGAAATTCGGAAGTGTTTTAATAATTTGCATTCGTGAATTATTGGAAATGAAACTATTTTTCCGGATTTAAATCGCGTACAGTCTTCAACCAGTTATGTCTAATATTGATGCACACCACCACATACCACCTCAGTCAATCGTGACCTGGGGACCTGTAAAGGGCCCGAAACGTCGGTTTATTTGAAAAAACAAATATACGCGATTTAAATCCGGAAAAATAGTTTCATTTCCTATGTGTAACAATCGCGAAAACCTAAGAACTCGATTCGTGAATTATTGTTGTCGGTAAAAATTTTGAGATCCAGCATTCCTTTTTTTTATTATTTTGAGTTGTACGCTTTGTATTGTTTTTTTTTTTGTATTGCTTTTTAAGTACTCATGAGTAATTTACGTAATTGCGTAATAACGATTATAATTATGTATGGAAAAATTTTATGCTTTTAATTTATTTTAGTTACATAACATTTTACCTAACCTACATAGTTATGTGCACAATAATAATATTATTGTACATATTTCCTTCAACAATTCTTACGGAAATCGAATTTGAATTTCGTTATGTGTATATATATTAGTGTCAGTGATTGTGCCCTGTTTCGTTAAAAATACCTTTTCTACGAATTATTTAAAATAATGAGACAGAACCAGTACGTAAAGATTATTTTTGTCAACATTCCACGACAACAAACCCAAACGAAAGTCAAAACAACGCTACAAAATAAAAAATAAAAGAATGAAAGAGAAATAGAAAATAAAAAAATAGATGTGTCCGTGATTGGCCAAGTACCGCTTATATTTTAACCTATCAGGAGGTAGTAGAGCGTTTGAGTAGCGTCATATTTGCTATTTGATATTGTTTTCTTTTTTGAAATTTTTCAACCAGTACCATTTACAATAGAATTTTGATTCAGAACTAAAAAGAGCACCCAACGATATGGTTCATGAAATTATAGATAACAGATTAAAGTACAGGAGTAGAAAAAGTCTATTAAGTGCTTTAGAAGATTAGGGTATAGGTTTTCATGAATTTATGTCACCAACTTCTTTAAAGAGTCAAGTATATAGTACTGTTAAACACTTTCAGGTCCAATCAACTGGTTCTTGTCGCTACGCATGTGGAAATTGCCCTCTCGGCTTTCGTATGCGATCTATTTGTTGCATTTACCCTTACAATACGTTATAACCGAAGCAGCTTCTCAACACACTTACTTTTCCGTGATGAATTTTGTAAGTACCAACTTATCTATCTCATTTTTATTGCTTTAGTCTTTGGTACCATGTAAAAATTAAGTTTAATGGTGAATGAAAATAAGGCACACGCACACACTCATATTCCCACAATAGGGAAACTGAATCGCGTTCGCGTAGAAGCGTTTTTTGTTTCTTGAAACACATCCTTATAGCTCTGATTACGTGGATTTTGAGTTTTTTTCTGGCCAACTTAATGTGATTCTGTATCAATAAGTGTATCCCTAAATACAAAACATACGACAATTTGTTAGTTTCTCGTTAAGTCACTATTTGTTACTTATAGTTTTGTAGTACTTGTAATGTGTAGATAACTGTTTGTTGACCCCAATTTAAAAACCCACATTTAGTAGCTAAACTAGGTACATTTGAAATAAGTGAAAAAGAGACAAATGTGAAATATAGTCACAATTTACTATTTTCTTCTATTTCATATTAATGTGCTTTGTTTGAGTTAAAATTTTGTGATCCTTACAGTTTTTTTTTTGTTTTAGATTTACATATTCCTCTGTGAATCCGTTATAATTTTCGTAGTCAGCTTTGTTATTGCAATTCTGGTGGATTCTCCGTGTTCCGTTATTTTCAACGTGTTCTTAAAAGGCGGTAAGTATTTTTTAATGTATTAACTAATTTATATTTCATTCAATATCTTTTCATATATTTTAAAATATATCCAATATAATATATTTTGCAGGTATAAAAAAATCGTATTCAAAGCAACAACGAGGTGATAAAACAAATGTTAAAACACCAATTCCGACTATTCAGGTCACAGAAGAGCCAGTTATTGACACAAATAAAGGCACATCTTGAAGTTCTACTAATTATTTACAATAAAATTAAAGATATATTCCGTTTAAAATGTCTAAATTTATCATTTATCAAGATTTCATGTATTTATGTTATGTAATGGTCAGTATAATTACTGGATTTTAGAATTTAAACAACGGCAACATTGATTTTTTGCGGGTAGAATGGAGACATTGATTCGCTCTCTGATTTCGTAGCAAAGGCGTAGTGCAGGTGTGCCGAATATAAGTGTTAAGTATTTTGTGCACAATATGTAAAACTTTGCTCACTAGGTGACTCGGTTTATTTTTAGCATTTAATAATTGTATTTTTAATGTATTCATACACTGTAATTATTCCTTATTGAGAGAAATAAAGCATATTGTGTTGTGTTGTGTTGTGCCGTGCCGTGCCGTGCCGTGTTGTGCTGTGCTGCGCTGCGCTGCGCTGCGCTGCACTGTACTGTATTGTACTGCACAGGATTGCACTGTATTGTATTGGAGAAGAATTAAAGTTCGAGATAGATATTATTAACGCATTTTATTCACACTGCACAAACTCACAAAAATTATAAGAAACACAACCGTTTATTGAAATCGTATTAGAAAATTGACCGCTTTTATTTTCCTAAAAGGAAATGTAAAAAAGAACCAATCACTATTCAAAATAATAACTTATAATAAAAAAGTCGACTACTATATCTTGTTAAATTAATCATAAATTTTAAAACATAAAATAAAATAGTCTACATTAATACCGTTTTAATTACATAGAATAATACGAGTGGTGAATAATTTGTGCCAAATATTTTTCATACACGTTTGTATTTCTTACACTAAAATACTATATGGGTGCCTTCGAATTAGACGGTTGTACTAATTTTCATACAACACCTGGTCTGCTAAAGTGGTGCGATTGTGGCGCTAAAGTTGCGCTTCTAAATATTCTATAAAAATTTGTAGTGGCGCCAATGCAGCATATATTTTGTAAGCATCTTATTTGAAAGCGCCCTAAATATCATAACACTATTTTTATATTGATGTCTTGCGATATATACTAAGTATAAACTTGCATCGCCGAAACTTATGCGCTTTGATTTCTATATTTCTGTCACATAGTTTATAGTGCGATAATAGTTATTTGTTACGCAAATTTGGAAAGTTGTTGTTTTAGAACAGATGGAAATAATTAGGTACAAGGGTTGTATAATAAATGAACAATTGAATTTTGCATCATCACATTTATTACGTGTATTTTCGGGTTTCAACAAAAGCAACACTAAGGGTAGCGGGGTATAAATACGCCAACCGTTCTGAACGAGCTTACTCTTCGGCCGAGAGTCGCACAGTCAACAGCCCCTGAGGATGCCTCGTGAAGAGGCGAAACACGTGTCGGGTATATTTTTGGTGGTGGTTTGTGACTATAGTTGCGCTTGTGTTGTCTATTTTATTAATTTTGTACGGAGGGAGGGTGGGATAATTAACTGCGTGAAAACATATTCAACACAAGCGCTGCTATTTTGCACGATTTAACCTTCACTGGGTTGGCGGAGTAGCAAATTAATTTACTTCCATTATTATTAAGTTGTTATTTGACACGAGTGCTTGTATTGAAACCTGAGCTAGCGAAGGGTACTAGGATGATCAAAAATAGAATACTGAGAATAGCGAGGATTTCAAGGCACGAGACGCAATACAACTTTTGCTGCCGAGCGAAACACATAATTATCACATCACTATAGCGAAGAAAATGGTAGTTTTAATCTTAGAGGATGGAAAAAAAAGTAAAGGAGTTGCTCTATCTACGGAATAAACGTCTTTACCCGCTCACGCGATACATGCAGCTGAAGACGCATACCACACCTAGAGGTGCCGGTGATGATTTTATACCGATTTATCGGATATCGAAATTATAGCAGGTAAAAGAACTAATATTAATTGCTATTTCGGTAACTACTCTAGCAAACCATAAAGTTTTTAATGCCTGGGTCTGTCATTAAAAAAAAATAAACAACTTCAAAAATACGTCACGACAATCGTGTGTGTTATTGTTTGGGCTGGTGATTTCGGTGTTTATTTATTTAAAACATACCGTAAGTAGCATTTTTTAAGTTTACCCTGAATATAAATGTTTATAAACTATACTTTAAGGATTAATTTCAGGTAAACGTTAGAACCACTCAAACGGAATATTATCATATTAATCCAAGTACACCAAAAATTTCATTAGTGCTTTTTAAGTGCAGGATTTGCGGTGTATTACTGCATTTTATTTGAGATGTTTTTGTTGGTAGTACGGAGGGTATTTATTTAGCAATGGAGAATAATAATTTTTATTTATAAAAACTTGTATTTAAACTGAATGCTTATCTAATTTGCGAAACCAAATAGCCGCCATTTTGCGGTAGGAGGCATCGCGTGAGCGGCTACAAATGGTGGATTTAGTGTCGTATCATAATCATAGATCAGTCAATATCGACATGCAAATGTATGACTTAAATGTTGAAACTGTTTTTTATGTTTGCAAATTTATATAGTTTACTGTAATCAAAGTATGATTAATACTAGGCTATTACTACTAGGCAAGTGAGCCATTAAAATCAAAATTAACTGTAAAGTTATTTACCAATAAATGTAACGATGGAATTGCATTATCATGTAATCTAGTTACATTCAAAGCTCTATTAAAATTTGACTTCAAAATGGAGCAAACAAACGAAGATGGTATTTGATGAATTTGATCCAATGTTTATGTTCGGCAGTCCTATAATTTCCAACCATTCTTTCTTTCTTTTTTCATTTGTAGGTAAACTTTAAAAATAATAATAATGTAATAATAAAAACCTCGTAGTGAATTGTTTTAATAACAGAATATCGATAATATGTCTGCTTACAAGAACAACACTATCTCAAAATAATCATTATCAACAATCATCAAAATATACTAACAAGCAGGCAATCTAAAGTAATCAAAGCAAAATTAGGCAAGACATGAATAAACTAATTAAATGAGTCTAATTACATGACATATTTGGGCTATTGCATGATTTATTTGCAGAAAATAACACATACCGTTGTGTAATGTATGTAATGTGTTTAATGTAACATTCGGTTGATTTCCGATTTTTTAATGCTGCAGCGACGCATTTTAAACAATACGTAATTGTTCTCACTGTCAATATTTTTGTCCATTTCGTTACAATTCATGTGAATAATCCAATAAGCACTTGGCCAAACATTGGTTTTTACATTTGATGTACTTCTCTTTGACAACCGGAAACGGTTATTAAAGGGTACTCCAAAAATGGTAAAATGAGGACAGTTGGCATTTAAGATGACGTTACGTATTTTCGATTCTCGTGTTTGACATAAATCAATGTAGTGCTATCTCTTTTGGCTTACGACGGCAAGCAGTAGTTAAACAAAGACAATAAAATGTTCATGTTTTCAACGCCTAAATGCATCATAGACATATAACATCTGATTTATATATGTCAATATAACATGTCCTTAGATTTCCATAGTCTAAGGTTTTAATAAACAAAATTATTTGTCGTTGTCAATTTAATGTCAGCAATAATAAGAATAAAATATGCCAACGGATTTATATTACATAAATAATGTACGATAAATCGCGTAGTTGAATGTGTCATTACGTTTTTTTTTCATCGAAAGAATAAGTTAGGTGCACCACAGTCCGTCAAGTTCGAATATCAAAAACCTTTTCCACGCCAGGGTGAAAATACGTTATAATGATAAAAAAATCCTTTCCGAGCTAGTGAGGTGAAAATAAATTTAAGTATAATATACAATTCTTAACATTAAGTATCAGTTTTAAGTAGAAAGTTTTTTTTGAGTATACTCCCGATAACGACATTTACAAGGGTTTCATGGTCTTTTTACCTTCAGTGATTTATAAAAAATGCAAGTTCTATAACTACGTCTATTCATATTATGTAAGACTAATTTTTTAAGTCTAGTAATTCCCCCTAAAAACAGTATACTTTTATGTTATAAGTGAATGTGAAATGTTCTAAACTAGTACACTATTACCCATTGAAACTCTTCTGCAAAATTCTTTCTATTCTATATCGAGTTCTTAGGTTTTCGCGAATGTTACACATAGGAAATGATCTATTTTTCCGGATATACGAGTAAATCGCGTATATTTGTTTTTTGTAACAAGCCAACGTTGCTAGCCCTTTACAGGTCCCAGTCAACCATGATCATGGGGCCTGTAAAGGTTCCGAAACTTTGGTTTGTTTGAAAAAACAAATATACCTGCGCGATTTAAATCCGGAAAAATAGTTTCATTTTCTTCCTATTGTTTTCGTCGCTTTTATTCGTACAGCGTCGTACCAAATCCAGAACACAAATTTGCTACAGCTACATATGTATCTCCGTGTCGCAATATAATATAAGCAATCGTAGACAGCATGAGACATCGATTTCTGACGTTGCGCCTAGTAATTCCAATCGCAGACTTTGTTTGTGTTTATTCGAATCTATGCAGTAAGTGCTGTGTTCAGTTGTAGATGCAATTTGTAGTCGAGTTTGACAGACACAAAGTTATGGTAAAATTTATCTGTTTTGTTTTAAACCGACGTAACGTAAACGTAACGTATTTTAATGTCGAAAAACCGATTTTATCGACCGGTCGAAATACATCAAAACTTTTGTTTTCGTTCTCACTACACCAAGCGTCTCAATCAAGTCTTACACCAAAAATTAGGAAATGCAAAGGGATTGCAATTACAATAGGTACTTTATTTAAATTTAAGAAGGTTCTTTAGATTATTAGGATCTTTCGTTTTAATAAAACGTAATCATTTACAATTGAAAAACAAAATTAGCTTTTTTTCGAATTGTAATATATTTCATGATATTACAATTCGAAATATAATGTCAAGGGATAACATGATCGTCATTAATGTAAATAATAATTTTATTGTTAATATAAAATAAAATAATTTAAAGAAAAATACGAAGTACAAAAACACAAATAAAAATCTAAATATTTTCAAAATAGAAACGTCCATAATAATTAAAATATAATTACCATTTCTTTAAAAGAAATTCCTCTACACTGTAGAATTCATTACCCAATAAAAGTTCTTTCAGTTGGGAACAAAAC